TTCTCCTCGAATTCCATCTCCCGAAGCAGGCAGACTGGGACCTGAACAGTTTCATTCTTGCAGTGGCGTTCTGTTAAACAGTGAATTTGGACCATGGAGATCAGAGGCTAGTCTTTTGCCTATAGGATAGATCATGTGAAGCATAGGCAATGGGCAACAGAAACGAATGACTATTAAAAATTGGTTCCAGACTGAAGCCTGAGCTTTGAAGGCCATTCATGACGATGAGAGGAGTAACAGAAATTATTGTCTTTAAAAGAGGATTTTTTTTTTCCTTCAGCCAAGGTGAATTCTCTCAAGAGACAGAGACACTTCTAAGTATATGCCAAAAAAAAAAAAAAATAGGGAAAAAAGAAAAGGAAAAGGACCCCATGTAGTAAATAATAGTCTAAAGTCTAAAACACAGCTTTCCATCATTTGTCTCGACTGTAAGTTGGAACAAACCTACCCACAGAAGTGACAGCAATTGAAATTAATCTTTTAACTGTTTACTGGCCGATGTCTAAGTAATTCACCCACCATTTCTACAGAGCTCACTGATATCAGTTGTCTTTGTTTCTACAGATTACAATGACAGTAGAATTTAGAAGTGTACTTTCTGTGAGGTGTAAAACACGCGGCCGATGCATTATTTTTCTTGCTACTGTCTACAGAAATTTTGCAAGTGGACTTGGAACAAGATCAATTGTTCTGTAAAATTTATTATAAAATTATGGAAGGCTCTTGAGGTAACAACGTCCTTTTTTTTTTTTTTTTTTTTTTTTTTTTTTTCTTAACAAGAAGAGTAAACATGTTTGGAGCACAGATTCTCCAGAAATTAACGTTGAATTTTTTTTTTGAAGCCAGTTCCCTAAAACAAATGGTGTCTTTGCAACCCTGTAACATGTACCTTCTTAATAATATTTAAACACATTGACCAATTTTTAACAAGTTTAGCAGAGGGTAGAAGTCTCAGATATTAAGTACCTTCGCATTTCATGAAAATTGGCGTTAGATATAGGAGAGAATCATGTTTTTATTTTTACTCAGGGAAGAGAACAACAAAACTAATCTTTTATTAGACATCAGGGACTCTGCATGGAATCACCCTTGAGATATAAATCTCAGCTAAGATATTTGACTTTAATCGTTTTGAGGCTCAGAAAATAATCAGATGTGGCTTGGGGAGGGTTTTTTTTCTTCCCAATCTAAAAGAGCATCCATATACTCTGAATCTGACTAATTTCAGACATTAAAATAAATAAATTGCAATTAGAGTTGCGATGAGAGCACTCAGAATACATGTCACTTGTGACAACCTGAATTGAACACAAAATTGTTCTACAAATAACAAAGCACTTAGAAAACTGAAGAGGAAGCATACAGAAAATACATATTTACATGGTTCATAAGACTGAGTAAATATGGGGATTTGCTACTGTTTCTCTTGCTGCTTCATCACCTAAAGAAGAAAGGGTTGAGGACTTCCATATAGTTTGGGGTTTAAGGGATACTGAATGTGTGTTTTTTCATCCCTGAGTTACCATAGTATCTGGTTTCCCTGGTTACCAATGACCAAGGAAAGGACGTTAGGGGAGCTGGAGGATTTTTTTAATTTTTTTTTTTTTAATGGAGGGGGGAAAGAGAGAGGTCAGAGGAGATTTTTTGTGTGTGAGAACAGAAGAACAGAATGTGAGAATAGTGCTGGAGGATAACTGTCGGGAAGAGATTTTCTCTGAAATGGAATTTATAGATTTCTCTTCAGTGGAAACAGCTGAAGTAGTTAAAAGAAAAGAATCACTTGTGAGAAACAAATCCTGTTGTTTTTGTTGTTGTTGTTGTCTTGTTTTTGTTTTTGTTTTTGTTTTAAAAAAAGAGGAGTGAAAAGAAGAAACATATAACTGTCTTTCTAAGACACTGGAAATAATTAATCAGTTGTTTCAATACAGGTGATACAAGGTGTGATTTGACCAGATTTTCTCTTCCAGGGGTACAAGCTTTGTCTTGATTTCTATTCCAGATTCTCCAGAATACTGCCTTCCTGAGTTGCCAGGGATGGTGCATCTACTAGCTGCTACTCAGAAAGGACAGTGTTGGCCAATACAGATTACTGCAGCAGCACTTGGAGACTGTGATTCTGAACCAGTTTTTTCTGTGTTGGAGACTTTATGACAGTTATCTTGGTTCTCTGTAAAGAGAATGTTATTCTGGTTCTTCACAGTCCAGAGGATTTCTTTGGTAATTCAAAATGTGGGACCTCGAAGTGGTGTCCGGAAGGTAAATTTAAGGAAATCCTCTTAGGGTGTGCTGCAAAACTGTAAGTGGAAAATTAAATATGGCAGCTTAGAACAAAGAGACTTCTCAGCGTTTTGGTGGGTTTGTTTATTTTAAATCAAAACATTGTTGATTTACCTTTTTTGCTTTCAAATCGTCTATTTCACTTCCAGAAAGCTTTCTGAGCTATCCAGCACTTTAACAGTGACCAAATAAAACAAACACTCCTACGCAGCTTCCAGTTTGATAGCAGATAGCAAAGGAAAGCAGTAATTGCTTTCATCCTTTAGACTGGTTGACATGTAATCAGAGCTCTGATCTCCAAGGAGGAATTATTCAGGCTTGGAGAATTTTTGACACCTTTACATTAGTAAAATATTTTTTTTCAACATTTTAAATATTTTTCTTCCACACAGACATGTTCATGCCAGAGAAACTTAGTGACTTCCCACAAATATGAGTGATTCTGCCGCCCCACTTCCAGTATCAGAGGCAGCTTAGATGGAAGCATATTCATGTTTTCTTGTTAGTGGTTTTTTAGTCATATATTTGTTTGATGCCTTCATTTCTCTGGCAAATTACAGATAATTGACTGGCCCTGCTCATCCCTAACCCTAACTCAAGACTAAATAAAAGATTAAATATAAGAATACTATTGTGTGTAAACTCTTGTATATGGACAAAAATTAATTCTCGGTCTTTAATATGGTCTTTTATTTCTCTTCATGTGGGCCAGATGCTAGGAATTTTGCTAGCCAGAGAATTTTAAGCATGCTTGCAATGTTATTAGTAAACATCATTTTGCTACTTTGCTACTTTTGCTACTTTTCATTGTTGGGTTTGTTGATGGCCCATTCAATCGAAGTTCAGTAAAAATTTTTGTTTTCCAAAGGTTTATTTCACAATTCTATTTTTGGTTATTTAAAATGTCAAGAACACTTCACTTCTTGTCTTCTAAGGCAGAGATTTATATAAAAAACAAACAGACAACAACAACAAAAAACAAACACGCACACAAGAAAGCATATGGGTCCTTAAATTCATTGAGTCTAATGGACTCTAGGCTTCACTGGTTCAAGGTTGCAGACTATCAGTGGTGTGATGATTTTAATATCCAAAGCATTTTACTGTCCTAAAGAACACTTCAATTTATCAAAGTGCTTCTGCAGTACTGTAATAATATTCTTGGCTTTCTAATATGTTACTAATTACTCTTAACTTAGATTAGCAGTTACAGTGACTTTAGTGTAGCTATATATTGAGTACATGAAGGTAGAATGTGGTCTTGCATTTTGAATCTTCAGTTTTATTGTACTCACATTCTCTTTTTTTTGTCAATATAACTGAAAATATTTTTAATTTTATTTCAAGTTCCCAAATTAACTTTCAGTTTCTCTTATTTATCGGATTTTTTTACCCTCAACCTTCCAAAAGGGTATTTCTATTTTTATCCTTATTTGCATGAGTACAATGTCAAATGTACATATGGAAATGTGTTTGCATCTGCATATTATCATGCATGCAGTCTTATGCAGTTTTGTTGTTTTTGTTATTTTTTTTTTTTTTTGCATTTGCAGGTATACAATAGTTAAAATATAATTACAAGCTGGTCTCAATATCTTCAAGATTATCATTCATGTGGCAGCAAATGAGAATTTTATAAATGGATTGGAAGAAGATATTTAAGGAGAGCCTTCCCAGCTTAGAAGCAACATGGGAAAATGCACAAATGTGGTTTCTTGAAAATATAAGAGGTTTGGGCCAAGATCATGAGCTGATCAAAGGAACAAATCTTTTAGTCACATGGATGGCTTTATTATGCTCCCAAAGCATTTTGTGTGCAGGAATAACTTTGTTCCTTGCAGACACTTCTACCTTCAGTAGTAGTTGTTTGCTGTGCTTGTGCCATGAGTCAGGTTTTCTATGCAATGCATCTCTAATTTTGGTACTTGTAATCAGAGCTGAAATCATTGTTGCCCACCTTACAGGGTTTAAGGGACCAAGTGACATCTGCTAGCCTCTAAAGTACCTTTGGCAAAGAGCTGCTTCAGCTACCAGGGCCATTCCCTAAAGTAGCCCAGGGAGATACTTTCAGTTGTACAAATTAAAGTGTCATATTGGCCACTGATGGTCAAACTGGATCTTCTCAGTTCTGAAAAAGAAAGCTACTCTGCTCACCGGCATCCCTATAGGAACATGCAACAAGTTTTTGGTTACTGAATAGTGGGAACTTTTAGTCATCTTCCTTTGCTGGAGGCTGATTCTCTGGAATTGTCATCTTTAATATCTAGATGGAGTCTGATCAGAGATAGGAAGGTTTTCAGAAATGAGATTTCCCCTCCCCAGCTTTAAAGGTAAAAATTTACCTTTCCTCAGGCAGAAGTACTTATGTCTGATTTTTTTGATAGACATTAGCTAACTTTTATTTAATATAACAACTACATGTTTTTTTTTTTTTTGTTTGTTTTTTTTTTTTTTTTTTTAATATATAGCAATGTTTTCTCATGGTATTTCTCAAATATGAATACTTTGGTAAATATTATTCCTTTCACACTGTTGAAAAATATTCAGTTCAAAATGTGACTCATTTAGTGGCTAATATTTAATAGTTAAAATTATATTTTCCTTTTCAGTGTCCAGATGAGTTAAAAAAAAAAAAAAAGTCATAATTACCTAACTCTGAGACAAACAGTATGAAATTTTGTATAAAAGCTGCCTTAAAAAAAAAAAAGTGCATATTGGAAAGGGAAGTCTTTTAGAATTCAGTCAAAAGGTTGCCAGTGTACATATTTTGCTACTTGTGCATAAATAGTAATTTAATTTGCTGTTATGTATTGCTGACATATTCCAGAAACGCCTATTGGAAGAGTATACTAAATTGACCTTTCCTTTACTTATTAATTTTACAAGCAGTGTTAGTTAATTCACTTGAACAAGGTATTGTTGCCAGTAGTTACCATTAGATGTAACCCAAAATATCCCATAAGTGTTAAGAAAGTTTGTCATTTCAAAAGTGAGAGAGGAGAAAATAATAATAATAATAATAACAATAATAATAAAACAACTCTGCAATGAATAAATAACTGCAACTTGTTAGATGAATGCCTGAAGAACACTTAAATCACCTGGAGAATCCAGTGCTGGTACAGGTGCTGTGTCTCTGTTCTTATAATTTGCAAGTGAAGCCAATCAAAATGATGAATCAGCTGTTGAAAAGTAAGAAGTTTTGAAGGAAGCATGCTAGTAATCTTCCATTAATATAGCATTTTCATTCAGAAGATCTTTAATTGCTGTAAAATAATTCTCCGTAGACTTAGAAGATGCTAGTAATTGGTAGAGTTATTAATTTGTTTTCTGAAATGCAGTGCCTTCTGGGGTGAGAAATATCTGTTATGGAACAGGAGTGAAAATTCACTAAAAGCTGGAAGGGTAAGGAGAAGACTTCAGATAAGTGCGATGTAATAATGTGCTTTTTACAGAGAAAAATACAGTTTTCTCTGTAAGTGGGCAAGAAAGGTGTGTTTATGAACTTTTGGAAATATGTTAACATCTCACATTGTACATAGTTTCCTTGTGTGCTAGGAGACTGTAGAAGGGGTGTATGCCTATGCTATCACACACTGATCACTACTACTGTATGGGAAGCTGAAGAGGTCTTATAAGTTGTTTTCAGAATTTTACTGATTGCTTTCATAGTGTAATTTGAAACTTACTGTGCTTTATGGAAAGGATTCATAGTGTGAGGAATGTGAATGCTGTGCAAGCATAAAAAGTTAAAAAAAATATATATTTTTTTTTTCTCTTCTTCCTTCCCCCCTTTTTTAAATTTGAGTTTCCCAAATCTGATTCAAGCAACCCTTTAAAACTGATGAAAATCTGCAAATCACTCGTTAGTATTAAACGCTCTATCTTCCCATACGTAAAAGACCGGATGTGCTATACATTATCATTCAGTTGTGGGAGAAGAAGATTCATATTAACTGTGCAGTATTTCATGTAAGACATTTATCTTTTAATGACTGATGGCCTAAAGATGTCACTTATGTTAAAAAGTAATAGTAATTGCTATTCGATTGAAGTCATCTTTTGGGTGCAGGTTTTCACATTCCTAAAAGATGAATGTTTTTCTAAAGTGAAGATATTGTTAAATGAAGGTAGCAAGTCAGCACAACTCTGTTTTATCAGTGTCTTCAGAGCTGCTTTGTTTTATGCTCTCTTTCCTGAGGAGATCAATAATGGATGGCTGACATCATTCCTTCACCATTCAGAAATGAGAAAGCCTAAATGCATTTCTTTAGGGCAGGCATGTTTTTCATCCTGAGCTGAAAAGCCTGTAATTGAGTGAGGTTTATAAGTGTGATTGCTATTGGTGTGTGTTCCAGTTTGACGTGCCTGTGAAAGGTTCCACTGGCATTTACCTGGCTCTTAGGGATGTTGACCTCATCTCCCAAACCGGCCAGCATGTGAAATGTCTCTGCTGAGAGGCACGTGTACAGAATGATCCTAATACTGAGAAGCATTAAGGTTCAGTTTGTGATTGCGCTGGTAACTTTCTTGAAGTTGGCTGGCTCTACGTAATTTGTGCATACCTTATCTTTGTTTTTAATTAAAAGATAAATAAATTAACGGAAGGCATAGTAAAGAACAGATGGGGATGACCCCTTGCATCATTGACAACACCTCTGTCTTCCTGTTGAAGAGAATAGGAAGACTTTTCAGTTTGCAGTCAGCAAGAACATGGGAAAACTGAATGGCTGATCTGACAGGACTTTCTACTGCTATTCACAGGTCTAAAAAGCCAGGAGAAATGTATGCCTCTGCAATGATGTGTCAGCATAAACATGTTTATTCTGGGGGGACAATGAGTCTAATTAAAGAACTGTTACTATCACTTGCCAATTTCAGCAGCATTTAGCTCCCTAGTCATTAATTCAAATGGAAATGTACCTAAATGAAAGTTGCAGGGACAAAGCAGTGAAAACAAAGAATGGCAGGTTCAGTATCAGTCCAAAGTCATGATCCCTTGTGTTATCTATGCTTTTACCACTCAGAATATCTCATGGGATCCCAGGCAGCCATGGTTGGCACAGCAGGTCTCTGATCCTGCCAGGACACTGTGTTACCTACTAAATGGACACTGAAAATGGCAAAAGTACGTTCTAGACCCAGACAGCTAGTCTGATTTTATTTATGTTGATTTTTATTTTACCTTTCAGAAATCTTTCCATGATACACTTGCAATATATATTCTTGAAACTGGCCCAGGTGCACAGGGGGCCACAGTGAAGGTCAGGCTGACATTGCTGCTGTTGAAAATGTTGTCCTATCTGCTTGTTTCACCCAACTATTTGATTTGACCAGTTGTGTGCTTTCTGTCATGTGCATCACAGAAACTTATTGGAAAACCTAGCAAAATTCTGTAATTTAATGTATTATTGCTTTCATCTGTTAATTTGGAAAGAAGCAGATAAAACATACTGGTTCCCAACGTATACGAAACCATACTGGAATACAGAAGCACCAACGTTTCCACAATTAATAGTACTGAAAACAAAGAAAAATGCAACTTACATTTGCATTTCTAGAGTGGCTTGGTGGCTTATTTTTCAGTTTCTTTGTTTCCTTTTTAAAGGAAGCAACAACTTTATGATGTGTCTTGTGAATCTTGGATGCTCTGACAGTGCTGGTACTTGTAATTGAGATGACTGCTAATACTTAACGAGGCTGAAAGTCGCAGCTGCTCTGTAGGAGGATGCACGGGTTGTCTGGGAATGGGGGCTGGCAGTGGGGCCTCTGTGAGGAGAGGTCAAAGCTGCCCCAAGCCCACCACAGCTGTTTCTGGATGGTTCTGGAATGCAGGGCACAGCTGAGCCTGTCAGCAGTGCTGCAGGTGCTTCTGTGGAAACATGCTGGGGAGAGGGCAGAAAATGCTGGAAAAAGAGAGGAAGAGAAAAGAAATTAGACAGCTGAGGGAACACCAAGATCACAGGAGGAGGTGCTCCATGGCAGAGCAGATACCCACTGCAATCCCACAGCAGGGCAGGTGAATATTCAAGACAGGAGGAGGTGCTGAGGGGGGCAGCCCATGCTGAAGCAGGGGAACTTGTGAGGGGAAGGAGGGAACCATCACGCTGAGGTGCGGGCAGGCGACTGGGAGGGGCACTGCCCTGAGCTGAGGGGAACCTGCCTCAGGGTGGGAGGTTGTGCTGCTGGCATTGTGTGTTGGGAGGTGATGTTTCTCTCCTAGGTGTGAGCACAGAACGTTATCTCCAGAAATAAAGTAACCCCACAAATGCTGTAAATCAGAGCCATTTTTGAAATCCGGCCTATATCTTCCTGACCGTGCGAGCTCAGTTCTAGCAGAAGTGCTCCTGTGTTTGTTTTGATACACAGTGAAAATAAGTGCTGGTTCTCTTACACATAAATATGCTATCTATTTGTGAATTGCATTTCCAACTCTTTTATCAATGCTGATTGCTGCCTGGGGAAATGATTCCAATATATCAAAGCCTGAGAGAACAGAAACACAGGAGTGGCTGGATATTTCAAAGTGGAATAAAAAATGAACACTAGAATTCATGACAAATAAAAAGCAATTTGTGGTGTAGGCATTGTGTTAAATAAATGCATTTAAGTATTGCATGTAAATTAAATAGATATCTGAGTTTAAGAAGGAAGGAAAATGTGCTATGCATCAGTGTTTAATAAAGTATTTGTAAGTAGAAGGAGACTTAAAAATTAGATGACCTATAATTCACTCTGGCTATTTAGAGTTAATTTTTCTTCCTGTCCCAGAATAGGTCGCACTTACTTCCATTGAGTACTATTTTACTCTTAAAGGAGGGTTCTTCATTTGCTTTGCCTACAGCAGAAAATAGTATTCAGTGTTGGAAACATGGGGAGCACATTCCCTGCCTCAAGGTATTTAAAGACAGCAAAAGGGATACCTTTCACTTTCTTTGTTATGGTGTGACAAAGATAGCCTACTGGAAAGGATGAAAAATATTTTAGGTGTCCAAATTATGACATTCACCATTTAGCCTTTTTCCTGAAACACCCTTTTTTTAAAAGTAAATCTATTGTTTTTTTTCCAAATGAGACATTGTGATGGGAGACATTTTTTTTTTTGTGTTAATAACCTACATGAACAAGTAACATTAAGAGTACATAGATGGAGCTGTGTGACACTGACAATGCGGTATGTCTTAGGGATCCTGTTATGTCTATCCCGTATGCTTTAATGCTTGAAGTGCAAAGCTGACAGCATTTGGTATCTTATTTCAATCATCATTTGACACCTCAGTCACTCTTACAAACGTAGCTAGCCTGCTCATCTGTTACCTGGACTGTATAATTTTGACTTGTCTCAATTTATTGCACAATTATGTTACATGTGGCAGTTACTTGTGAATGTTCTTTTTCAGCTGAACAGCAAGTAGGCAAAAAAATATATGCTGAAAGTTGTGATACTTCAAAGGACATATAATCTGCTGTGCTTTTCAAAACCCCAAAATAGGTAAGATGAAATCAAATTTTATACTAGATTGTGTTTTGCCAGTCAGGCACCATTATAATTTGACAGGCATGATGTGATGCAATGAAATGTGAATGACATAGCCTAGCGTGACATAACTGATAGGCCAACATAGAAATTTAATAAACATTTCCAATAAGTTTGCTATACTCTGCCTTTCATTTTCCCAACCATTCCCCTGTGTTATGTCAGTATTTGGGTCAGGTACTTGGTCTTAAACAGGTTATGAAATGTAACAATTTTGCTTATTTATAAGAAAAGCAGTAGATATTTCCTTGTACCCTTTCTGGATAGTTTAGATATGAATAGTGTTGCAACTGTAAATAATATTAGTTCACATGTGGAAATCATTTTGGTTGTAAATGGTCAGTAGAGTAGCTACAAAATACATGTATATGGACTCACTTAGCCAACTTATCTGTAACTTGCATAATAGAGACATATGGTGATGTGACTAGCTACAGCCCAACTTGCTTCTTTCTAAAGTTACTGAAAAACTGCCCTTTTTTTTTTTTTTTTCCTAAAATTGATCGTGATGGGGGCTTACTCTAAGAATTATAAATGAAGTGTTAACTGATTTACTGCTTCCGGTTTACTCTCCTGCTGCTATGAGTTTTTATTCTAATTTGATGAAAACCAGTTTTTGCAGCAAGACTTCCAAACCTCCTAAAATGACATTTAATACCCCAAATTAACACAACATAAAATATTATTTAAAAAAAAAAAGCACAAACAAAACAAAAGCAAACAAACAAAAAACCTCTATACACTCAGCCAGATAGCAGTTCTACATTTCCCTATTTTATTGTCTATAGAAAGTTAATAAATTAGAATCTAAAGCTCTAAACTTTTTGTAGTCGTATAATTCTTATGACTTCTGTGAGAGTCGACAGCCTCGCATATATAGCTCATAATTAGAATTCATTCTCAAACATTTGCATTGTTGGTATTTTATATAGAACATATATTAATAGTACACACCACAAAGAATGTATTTGCGCGTGTCAGTTCTAGGAACTTTATCTAAACGCCTTGTAGCAATTTATGCTGTCATAAACAACAGCCAATATAACTAACAGTACTTGCTTTCACTAGAATTGCTTTCACTACCTGAGTCAAAATAGCTCTATGATCTACTCCAAATTAGTCAATGTAAATGTTTGCTAAAAATGGACTGCATTATGGAAACCAGAGGGCAATTGTCATGCAGTACGTTACTTCTGCATTTGAAAGGTGGACTAAGGAATCAGTGTAAGCTAATTTAATGTACAGGTATCACCTTTTCAAAAAGAAATAAAAAAAACCTGTACATGCAAATCATTATCAAAACTGTCACAGCTGTATTTGGAGACTAGGGATTATATGAATAGATTTTGTTTTATTTATTGCAACACTAAAGTGAAAAATACTGATTTAAAATTCTAGGGCTAGGTCCCAGATACTTGATATCTAGATATCTGATACTGGATATCTTTCTTTTTAGCTTTGAGATCCAGCTATAGAATTTTGTTTTAGGGGTGCATGGCCACTCTACTGAAGTTAAAAATAAATAAATAAATAAATAAAAATCTCCTCATAAATCTCTAAGGAATAAAATCGTGGATGCATATAAAACAAACAAGTAATTTGTCACTAGTGTAATCTGATTCGGTTTTCTTCGTGGGTAAAAGTTGAAACATTTGCAGGTTCAATTCTTTACATTGTTTTATTCAGAAATTCAGTATAATAGAATTTATTTCCAAAAGAGTTCTCCCATAGTTCATCTAAGTGGTATAAAACAAAAGCATTTTTCACATATTTTTGAAAGTTTTGTGTTTTATTTTAAAATGTATTTAATTAAATACATTATGGCAGAGCTTTGTAGGGGGCAGCAAGGGGAGGCAGTGAAGGGAGACTGAATTGCTCCATGGCTTAATACATGGAGCTGGGGAAGGGATTGTGGAAAGGGAGAGTTTTGAGAATATTAGAAGACCATTCAAATTCATGTTTGGAACGCTCCCTACCTGTGAATGGTTGTTTTATTGAAATCTAGATCACTATAAACTTTGTCTTCATGTGCTACCATTGCACAATGAATGGCAGAAAGCCCAGGAAACCTATCTAAATATTACTGTCTGTATGACTGGAGTCAATTGGCATTGGCAGGTGGGGATTTACACCGCTATGGAAAAAGTAAGTCTATTTTACTGCTACAGTTTTAAACCTGTAAAGACCTTCCCAAGGCAGCTTAGAAGCATAGCCAATATTCCTTAGTGTTTCCTAAACGTGCGCATTTGCTAGAAACAAACAGGAAAGTGCCTTGATAGTTTTTTATACAGGCACTGCCTCAACTCATAGTGCTTCACCTTTGTGGCTGAGGTGAGAGTGGATTAAAGCTTGTTGTACTCCCTGACCCACTTTCATCCACCTACTGCTTGTGGGGTGTCTGTTGATTGGCACAGATCACATCTATATGCCCTGATGGCAGGCAATGTTAAAGCAAAGTCCTTGCAGAAATGGTCCAGGGCTGCCTGTTCAATGTCAAATGTGTGATACTGCAGAAAGAATAACAAATATGATTAGTGATGGTGACTGTACGTGGCATAATGCAACTCAGGTGTGTGAGTGTAAACTGTGGTATGGTGTGGAAGGGATAATACTCTTACCTCATCTCCATCAAGTTGTCTGAAGCTTGCCCCAGTGCAAACCTGGAGGTGAATTTTGGCTGGAATTTAGCTGCCAATCTATATTCAAAGTACAGCATGAATATACTCAGTTGTTTCCCTAAAAATAAGAAACTGTTATCTCCACATGACTCCCACTTTGAAGGTGCCTTATGCCTTCATAATAAGGCAGAGAGTCCACAGAGTTGCTCTGAATACATATTTTACTTGAAATTCATGCTCTCCTTTATTATGGAATAACATTATTGATGAAGGGCGTTTGAGTAACTCTGGAGTCCTGAGATGTACTGGTTAAAGACAGGAATAAACTGCGTATGTATAACAGAAAGAATGAAACTGCTCAGCTCCTCATGCCTGATGTATCAAGCCTCTGTGATGTTCTCCGCAAAGGCCAGGAGTAACAGAGGTGGTGACTGTAACTTTTTTTGGAAATTGCCAGATGGTCTTGTTATTTTATTCACATGAATAGGTAATAGGTAGCTCAGGAAAGAAGTGCTTATTGTCAGCTGAGATATAATTATTTCTAGACATGGAATATTTCCATTTAAATTTGCTCTTATTATCTTAATCTCTATCTGAAATATTTTTCTTAAGGATGCTAGATTATATAAACCAAATGTGAATAAAAATATTGAATGGTACAGAGTCATGGGAATAATATTCTTGTCTAGTGGTTTTAGAAAATAAGCCTCGGATACAAATGTCATGATATTGTATTACATTTAATATAGGTATTTGTCATCATAATACATTTATGGGACATTTTTCTTGAAAAGCAAGCAATACAATAAATTTCAGTAAAATTGAAATATAAATTCTAAGGGCAAAATAAGATAGAATGCAAGTAATGATAGGGTCCAAAAGAGATTTGAGATTTGTTGCTAATGAATACAAATCTTTTGTAAGCTATATTGAATGGCTGCATTCAGCAAGTCCAAAAATATTTTCTTCTGAAATCTTTAACTGCATTCATCTGTACAAGAGCCTCTGCATGTGTTTTTGTCCATTTTCTACCTGTCTCTTGTACATGCGTCTCTATGGCTAGCCCCACAAGGATATCCAGAGGCAGGAGCAATGCAAATCTCCTGAAACTACTACCAGCTCACTGTGCACTCTTGTTTTAATTTCCTCTTCCCCTACCTTTCTAAGATTATATGCTTCAACAAGCAATCCAGAGATGTCTTGCTAATTATTGTATCATAGATGTTTGCTGACTACCAACAAAAAACAATAAATGTTTTCCACCAAAGATAAAAAGGAATCAGAGACATGTTGGTGCTTAACTAATGAACGGTGGGTCAGATTCACCCCTGAAGTAACTTCCATCCCATATGCCTTGTCTATTTAGTTCACAACTCCTTCTTTAACTACAGAAACAGTTAATTCACAAACCTGTAATTGGCATGATTGGACAATTGCTCCATGCAGAAGGATTTGTTAAGGTTCAAAACAAAATCTGTTATTAGTTGCTAGTAGCAAGAGATTAAGGAGCCTTGTGTGAAATTAGACATTTTTTTCTTCATTACAACCTTAGGTTTGTGCTAATACAGCTAAAGTGCCCTGCACTTTACATTCCCTCTCCTTTACACGAATTTTACTTCTTGGGTGAATAATGCTATTCCACACATTGTATACATTTCCTTTGCTGATGAAAGTATTTCCCATTTCTTGCCTGACTTCCATTCTATGCAGTGTCAAGTGAAATTAGTGATAGAATGAACCCTTTCTAGTAACCAATGAATTGCTTACATGTTCTTTTCCAGATTTGCTAGGGGTTTATCAATGTTTGATACTTTTTGCCCCACTCTGATTATATTTTTGTGTATGAGAAAGTATTGTGTGTGAGAAGGTATCATCCACTAAAGATGCTTTACAACTAAAAGAATTAATCTCCCATTGGAAATGTGCCCTGATTACTTAGCATTTATAGCATTTGTTGCAAGCCGTATCTTCAGGTGCCTGCATTTACACAGGGTGTTTGTCACATTACCACATTTGCTATAACTGTAACAGGAGTTACTTCCTCTGCCCAGCTTCAATATAGGGTCTAAGTGATGAATAGGATAATTAACTATACATTACAATTCATTAAATATTCTTAATTCTGATGTGGGAACAAATGAAATTCATCATTAACAATTGAGTTTTAGGGTGAATGTGTGTGGGTGCATGAGAATATGTATGCTAGAAGAAATTTATGCAGATTAAATCCATTAGCAATTTTCTGCACACCTCATTAAGCAAAATATCAAATCCCACTTAGCTCTTCTGCTCTCATTAGACAATTTGAACTGTACTATTCCGTATCATGGAAAAAAAATCCCTAGTGTAATACCCCACTAGTGAATTCTCAAAATCTACAGATGTCATACTAACACCTTGGACTAATCACATTTTCTCACTGTACTGTACCATTGTTAAGTCTGCCAAGAGACAGGCTGCCTGGCTCCTATAGAGGGATTCTCTGGAAAATAAGTAGTTCTTGTCGCAGAGTAGTATGTGTTCCCAAGCACCTAAACTTGCCTAAAGCATGTGTACAGCTGTGTATCGGGTGTTGAAAATACTTAATAGGGAAGAGCATTGAAAAAGTTGCCCTTTCACTGCTTTTGTCAGAAAAATACAGATCGATCAGAGAATTGTTTTCTGTGGGAAGATGTTACCCTTGCTAGAACTTGATAATGGAGTCATTTCTTGGGTCCATGATAGTGTATCTGTTGTGGCTGCATCTATGTCAGGGGCCATAGTTTAGTAGGTATTCCAAGCCAACGTAAGGTGACTTCACTTTTAAAATAGGACTTCTCATCTTGCCCTACCTCCAGAGTTTGTTCCAGTCCTCCTTTATGAGATCTTATGAATTCCCCTTAATTGGCAACAAAAGGGAACAAGTTGGCTTTAAATTAACCTGGCAAAAGAAGACTGGATTAGTTTTGCTATAGTTAGGTTTGCTCATCTGGTTCTCCACCTGGCCTTGAAAATACTCTGACACAAAAGAAGGAAAGAAATTACAGGTTGAGGCTAGAGAGAGGGAGAACAGAAACTGCTTCTTTTAGAGGTAATATTGCCTTATGGCTGTTTAAAGGCTTCATGATACTGTAGCAGTATTGTGATCAGTAGTTGAAAGGAAGCTCTAGAAACTAAAGTCAAATGAGAGTAGGTGGAAAACCATAAAGGGAATTGGGTTGCAAGAATTTGTCACTATTTTTGAAGGAAAAAGGGAAGAAACGTGATTCTCCTTGTCTGTCCATTCATGTAATACAAGAAAAGATGCAAAAGAAAATACAAGCTATTATTGTGATTTAGTCTATACTGAGTGAAGATCCAAAAAGAATGGAAAAACTTCTTCTATTCCTTTCTCTACCTAGTGTTTTGACTGCTTTCCCTGGTTTTGAGACTGAAAGCACCAACCAGTTTTTATTTCCATGCCCAAACGCTTTTGTCTGATGTAAGTTCTCATAGTCTGGAAACAAACAGATCTCTAAGTCAGGGGATGGTAGTTGAATAGGAAGGAGATAGGAAGGATTCTCAGCTGAATACTCAGGATTGAGGTCCATTCACGTGCTTTTTTTTTTTTTAAAAAAAAAAAAAATTATTTACATTTTTTTAATTTTTATTTTATTTACAAATGAAAATACAGCAGAGCCAGAAAACACTAACAGGCACTTATGTCCTATGCAGAAAGGAACTAAGTCAGTATTTTGTTTTTAAACTAGGCTAATAGTATTTTTAGCTTCTGTCCTCTCCTTCCCTCTTGCAGGTGCCAGAACAGGTAGAATTTCTGTTTCTACCTCACCCTGGAAGCAGCAGTATATAAAAGAGTAGATGAATTCTTGCAGTGCCACATGTAGTGTCCTTTGCTGCCTTTGATCATTCGTCATTTTGATCATTACACAGTTTGAACAAAGTAGCTAATCAATCCCTTCTCATTGTGTCCTTCCCATACTGCCTGCTACCAGCTTTGTTCATTTCCTTTATATAGTACTGTAGGTCTGCTCAGCACCAGTGGGTGGGCCTGCCACTTCTGCTGCGCGAGGAGGGGTGTTCCTGCCACCAGCTGGCACCCCACTCGGTCAATCAGGAATGCTTTCGAGCCTCACCAGGGTATGTGACTCCTTGTGGGAAATATTTTGTACCTCATTATGCTTTTTTTAGTCAGTGAAGTGCACCCCACATGCTGAGAAGCAGGGCCATAAGAAGAAATTGGAAGGTAGAAAAATTTCTGGAGCACTAGCAAAGTCTCCCGAACCCGATTTCCTCTTCTGTTCAGTTGCACAAAAGCAGACCCAACTTGGCATATATGAAAGCAGCCAAGTAGATGGTTAGTGATTTGTGCTTTTATTGGCTTTGTATAGACTTGTGGGGGTTACAGTTCCCAGATATCCTGGTGAAACTGGGACAGTCCTAACTGTGTAAGCAATTCCAGTTCTTTCTGTATGAGTCATCCAGCAGTCCCAGCCTCAGCCTTCACTGACCCCAGCCCTGCATGAGGGAAAGGGGTTGCTGGTGGCTTCTGACAGTGTGGGTCACTGAGACACAGGCTGGGGTTCTCAAAGCCGTGGGACCTCTGAAATGATCTAATGCACTGAGTTTAGACCTCTGGAGGGAAAAACTTAATTTTCTTAATTCTTTTCTGTGTCATCTAGCAACCCAGAAAGCTGAATCTTCCCTCAGCTGCTGTGAAGTCCATAGCTCTCTGGTCTTTGCAAGGGAAGGGAAGTTTGTCAGCTACAGTCTTGTTTGCTTATGATCAAGTACTCCTAGCCATGGGTAAGCTCATGGCAGAGAATCATGTCCTCAGTTTTGTTTGAATTGAAGGAAGATTAAAAAGAGTATGGGAAAGAAGTAATCGTTTGTTTATTTTTAATATCATTTTTGCCTTTTCTCCTGGACCATAACCCATTCCACATCCCTTTGTTAAACTATGAATACCTTGTATGCTAACCAAATAATTTCTCCTATTATACTTTACATGCAATAAAATTCTTCAAATTCAAAGGTCACCAGCCAGACATGTAAAATGACTTCATGAACAGCTTCAGCTCATTAATCATGCCTTAGTGTAGTGGTGGCTCTCCTCTGTTCATTAGAATAACATTTCTTTGCACTTTATGGCAAACCATCATTATAATGCAGAACAAGGACAACAGTGTGAAAGACTTTTTTTAATGAGACTTCATAGCTGCTCATGGTCGGACTCCCCATCCTGTTTGCTCTTGAAAGAGCCGTCTGACAAAGGTTCAGAAGGATTTTACCTGATGAAGAGAACTATGAAGAGAGTTTCACAGGGAAAACTGTCAATGAGCTTACAGAAAGCTGCATAAACCTGGCTGCCCTGTTGGCTGAGCTGTCAGTCTTCAAACAAATGCAGAGAGAAAATCTTTAATTGTACTCACCACACACATGACATTTTATGCTGTGTCATTGTCATTTGCAGCAGTTCTTAAATTGCAGAGAAAAAGCAGTGGTTCCGGATCCCCAGGATCTTGAGTGGACTCTGCAGTTAATAAAGAGAAACTCTTTAGTTTAATAATTATCAATTATTGAGGAAAATAAACTCTTCAGAACCTCTGAAACTAGGTTGTATCATCAATGCTTTTGCTGCTAGTCTAATATTGTTTTAGTCCTTACTTTGGGTATAACAAAGGAATGGAATCATTCCAGTAGTGCTGGACTGAGCTAATTTAATTCTCCCTTAATAAATATTTTAAGGGATGTTAATAATATTTTAGTATCTTTCTTCTTTAGCTGGAATAATGAAATTGCAAAAATGGCTTATAAAGTTTTGTGGATGTTCATTTTTAATTAAAATGTTCTCCTCTGTTTTCCCTCAGGAGTGTAGCTACTTTGTTAAGCACTAGAAAAGATAGCAAGGTTCCTCACAAGAAGAAGCACAACCTGACTACTGACCTCATGATTCTATTTCTCTTTCATTTCCTGTCTGTGAGGCCAGTACAGGTTATTTCCCCAAAATAAATACTTACAAATCCAGGGCCTAATCTTGTCCTCTTGCCCAATTTTCAACTTCAAATGCAATTTTAATTCATATGGCAAGCAGGATAAAAACAGTTTTGCTCAATCCTGGTAGAGGTGATGAGTAATGAGAGGAGACATACCTCGTAGTATTGCCAGCCTCAACAGGTAAAATCAAGTGTTATAATCAGCGCAGTCATTTGGTATTGCATTGGTTTCTTTTTTCCTTTTTTTTTTTTTGGCTGTTACCAAAACCCTCTAAACTCTTTGTATGCCTCTACACCATGAAAGCTTCAGCAGCTTTGCTGCTGCTCATCGCTGCAGCTCCTCTGGTATTCTGTACCTCTATCTCTTTTTCTTCTTCACTGGCCAGTGTTTTTTTCCACAAGGGTACTGGGTGTGGGCTAAGGGCAGAGAATTGTCTTCTGTCAAGCCTGGAATTAGGAAGAGGTGGTATTTTTCTCCAGTTCCCCAAGTATTCCTGTCAACACTGTGTGAAGCAAGAGAGGTAGAAGAAGCAGCTAAAAGTATAAATTGTGGTTACTAAAATGTCCATGAGATGCTTCCTACAGCTGCCATCTTCTCCAAATCATAAAGTTGCTTTTTGTAGTGTCTCTTGGTATATTTTCCATCTTTCTCTCTAATAAACCAAGAAAATAAAAGTCCCTGCCCCCCTCCCCCCAGCCCATAATCTCTACTTCTCTTTCCCTTGTCTTGCTCTGATCTGCTTTGTCAAGTGATCAAAGACCTTGTTCAGGTGGTCTGTTGCTTAGTTACTACCTGCTTGGAATTCACTCTTGAGAAATTGCTTTGTCTTGAGAAGTAGCCATTTTTTTTTTTCCCTCCTCTCCCCAGGTGCTCCATTTAAATGCACGATCAAAGTTTATCAGCCTGCTCTACTTGTACCATGTTAGGTACAAAAATTTTTCTTGTCACCTTCTCTGGATTTCAGATTGATCTGTAGAAGAGAGAAGATGCAAGAATGCTCTGCAGTTTAGAAGAAAGTTTTCCAGACAGGAGTCTGACAACAAAACAAAATGCAGTCTCCAACGCCAACCAGGCTGTGCATTGGTAGACACCGCAGTTTTGAGTACGAAGAAAGGTATTTTAGTGTGGGAAAATTTTCTAGAGTATTGCTTCTAGGGTTTTGTTTTTCTTGTAGACTTTGGATAGAAGGCTACTTCCATCTATGTATACAAAAGGACCTCCCACTGATAACACGTACAAAAGAAAGCATCCAGCAATCTGCGATGTAAATATTAGTCCTGCATAGGCAGGCTTGCCTAGAGAGAAATACCTGTACTACTGATATGCTGTTGCCCTTCCTGTTACTCTTTTCCAGATTATGTCCTAGTGGCAGAACAAAAATAGCATATGCACTTGCCATGTGCATACTAGCGTACTGCCTTAACTTCATGCTTCTTTTTCAAGCGTATGAATGAGAACAGAGCAAATTGACTGTCACAATTCATCAGCCATGCGTTAAGCAAGAGGCCCATTGATGTGTAGAGCAGTGTTCAGACCAGACATGAGATCAGGAGCTGTTAGCAGCAAACACTTGCAATAGCAGGATCAAAAGAAAAGGCAGACTTGAGGTGAGAAATGTGGTTATAAATCTGTATGCAAAACTGCATCAACAGAAATGCAAGACCAAACAGCACAAGGATCACATGTTTTACCCAGTCCATTATTGATGTGCATGTGCTCTATGCTATATGTGGGTAGAAGACTGCACTCTATGACCCCTAGAATAAGGCTATATCAAAGTTGGTAGAAACATCTGCTAGCTTTGTTCTCAACCAGGAACTTATTCCAGGGTTGCCAGTGAATGTCTACTGCATTACTGAAATTTCTGTGATCTTCAGTGCACTTGAGTGGAAACTTCCTGATGATTTGTTGGATGACAGATAGCAGAGAGGGCTGTGGACTTGCTACATCAGTGGAGAGCAGTGGCTCTATCGCAGAATGGGGATTTCTTCTTGGAAGTGCAGGGGTCCGAGGGAAGTGAATGAGACAGGCCTGGAGCAGGCTTCTGGCAAGTGCTATGCTTCCAAGGTGCCAGGTATATAGTTTAGGTGTATTGTGATGTGCCAAATCTGGTCTACAGTTAAAAGAAAGTTCTCTGCTAATTACTTTCTTTTTTTCTTTTTCTTTTTTTTTTTTTTTTTTTTTTTTTCTCCCAAAAGCAGCTACAAGGTTGCTTTTCTTTACAGATGAAAACAGGCTGAACTCTTGTTTTAGTGTTTCTGCACCTCTTCACCTCCTCCTTTTTTCAATGAAAAACAGAATTGTAAGTAGTAACAATGGTTATTGGAAGTGGTTTTGCTTATTCAACCAGCAAGCAACAAATTCTTACTGTACTATTGATCATATGCTGTGCTATATTTTCACAATATGAAAATATCAGTCACAAAAATCACTATTTATAAAATAATCTGATATCTAAGTATGAAATGTATGCTTCTTTTACACTTTTTTAGAATGGAACTATATTTTTGTGGTAAGGCAATTTACCAAAGTGACACTTACATTAGCTTTAGCTAATGTCACAACCTAATGCCAAGTGAGTTCTCCTAGTACTCTTTTGGTATTCTCTGAGGCTGTTTTTATATTAAATCTATTTCAGGTTCTCATTATACAGTATTTGCTGTAATTATTAACTTATTCCTAGAATTATAGAATTAGAGAACCAGAGAATCAGAGTATTTGAGGTTTGAGGGGACTTCTGAAGAGCCTAGTCCACCACCTTCCTGTTCAAAGCAGGGTCTGCTTAGAGAAGTATGCTCAGGGCTGTGTCCAGTGGAGTTTTGAATATGTCCAAGAAAGAGGTCTGGATAACTTCTACCAGTTTGTGACAATCCTCACAGCTTTTTTTTTTTTTTTTTAAGTGGAATTTCCTGTATTTCAGTCTGTATCAATTGCCTCTGACCTCGTCACTGAGCACTAGCTACAATTCCTTTTCTTTCTATCATCAGTTATTTACACATGCTTAAAAAATAGAAATAAATTAAAAAATATGCAAATAAAGATGATTCTAAGGAACAGCAAAATGCAATGTAGATACAGCAATATCTAATTTCTACATGAATCAGCTTGCAGCATGGGAAATGAAAACAGGTAAAAGATTAAAAAAGAAGTCAGGATCAATACTTTGATCAATTGTGGAGCACCTGATTCAGCTGCGGCTGAGCCAGATTATCTTTTTCTTCATTGCCTAGCTAAATTTTCTGGGGAAATAGCGATCATGAAGTTATCACTACAGTATGACTGTCTATTCTGTTTTTCACTACTTGTTAATACATATATATTTTAACAAACAATGCTGACAATGAGAAAATATTTTGGTTACTTTGTTTGCGTAGGTACAATGTCAGCGTAGAAGCAGCTACCAGGGAGATCAAAACTGTGAAAGATCAAACATTGGGAGCATACTTTACTTACAATTTGTCAAAATTACTAGGGGTCTGTTCCATTTAAAAGCATTACAGATTGAGAAGGAATGAACAGTTTTGAAGATTTCATCATCAAAAGAGATTTAAGTTAGAAGCATGTGTGTTGAGTCTGAGATTGCTTAGACACAGGGGTTGCAAAGGATGTAGAAACATTAATAAAACTGAGTAGCATATGAATCCAAACTACATAGGAGTTCAGAAAGAGGATCTGGGCCCAATTCTGTCTCATGCTCCTAATAGTGACGGTACTGATTTTAAAAGTATATTGAGGAATCAGGCCCTATTCTGTTTAAAACAGTGTGTCAAACTATTTTCCTCTATAGCATTGTTTCCATGTCACTATGCCAAACTCATAAGGGATTATAAGGGCAGTATTTCTATATTAAATGTTTTCATGAAGCATCTGGGTTCTATTTAAACTCCACATTTCAGAATATTTAGAAGTTTTGTTAATTGCTAGGCTATAAATCCCCTGACCAACCAACCTAAGTATTTTCCTTTTTAACTGGTGACTGTCACAAGAAACCACTTTTTTACTCCTGCTATTTTCGTACCTAACAGCTTAGAGCCTTGCAGAATTTAAAAATTATCAAACCTTAAACAGCTTTGCTCTATTGAAGAGGCTCTAACACATGAAATTCCTTCACCAGGTGATGTTTGTTAGGTTTCAAAAACAAGAACACAGTCGGAAACTCCCAACCTTGAAGTTAATTAGAATTCTGATGTTACCATTATTTGTGATGTCTGAATGACTATGCTAGAACAGTGAATTTAACTAAAGAAAATCTTTTCAGCTTCTATCACAGAATGCAAAACCCCCCTTTTCTGAATCTGCACTTGCAGCATACAAAGATTTTGGGCCTTAATGTTGTAGGCAGGCAGAGTCTGACTGGACTTGTGTTGAAGACAGTTTAGCTGTACCTGGCTACAAAATCTGTCTTCTGTGAATTGTGTGTGACTGAATAGTTTTCTTGGATAGGATTTTCCTGTTTTTCAGGGTTCAGGGGAGGGTGGCACTGTTTTGGCATCCTTTCCTCAGTTATTTGTTAACCTACAGTAAAAGGATCATCCAGATTTAGCAAACTGGTTTTGCTGCCCATTCTGCCGATTCCAGTTGGCTTTGTCTCCTACAGCCACACAATGTTCGAATTTTCTCTGAGTACAAAACTCACAGTTTTGTACTCAGAGACAAGTCAAAGAAATAAACTGCCCAAGTAGCTCTTGCCCAGATATCTAGAAAATTAGATTTTTCTTTAGTATAAATTAATTTTCTATTGTTTTCTGCAGATTAAGGATGTTTATCAGTCACTTTTTGCCCGCTGTCTTTCCAACTTAAACGCATAGGTAAATGCAATCTGTGTGTATTTAAATGTATGTAGAAAAAGTTCTGATTAACTGACCCTGTCTGTATTCATTTAGGGCTGATGGCACAGGGTACAGCCCTCTGGTGTACTGTTTTTTGCACCCCCCTTTCTGTGAAATAATTACATCCCCAAAGAAGGTAACTGAGGTGTGAGACCTTTGGTTTCCTACAGGAGTCTGAAAAACCTGGTATGTTAAAATCATACTTGGTCACCAGGTTCTAGTAATTGCAGATGTACCTTTTTATTTATGGCAACAAAGGTAGTTCTTGTGCCTAAAGACTAGGTGACTGTACAAAGATATTTACATGAAGCTGCAGGGGCTTATTAGGGTTGCCTCCTGGCATTTGGCGTGTGTATGCGCAAGGTAGCAAAGCATGAAAACTTAGTGAATTGTATCTGTTCAATAATTACAAATAGGTTGTTTTTCTTTTTTTTTCATTACAAAACTGAATTTTGTAGGTCATTTAACGTCTTATCTGTTTTAGATTTTTTTCAAAGGATGGTGCATACTGTACTAAATTAAGTATGCCTTTTTACAAAACTGATTATATTAGTGGTTGTTTCAATAAATGATTTGCAAAAGTACTAAGTACATATGTCAATTGATTACTTAGAATTAAAAGTAACATTTTGTAGGCAGTGAATTCTTATAGCAGGCCATTGGGACATTGGTATTTTGAAAACATAAAATCCAACAGCTTTAAAGCAACAAAGATATTTTAGTGTGGACTCTGTCTCTGAGTACTATACACACAGTCTGATTTACCAACCAAGAGAAGGTGAGGCTACAGGCAATGCATATCTTGTATGCATGCTGGGGCTATTTTTCTGAGTGTGGGATTATACATGGAAATCTTGTTGTTTTTTGTTTTTATTTATCCCAAGAATGCATATGCATATCAGATCTGCCATTTCCCCACAAACTGTACACAGTCCTTGTTTATGAGACAGAAATTATAAATCTGAGAATTGTACATTAAGCTATACTTTGAGCAGGAACTTACAGACTGGACTCATAAATGCAGATCCTTGCAGTTTCTGAATTAAGTTCTTTTAAAAAGACCTACACAAAACAGGGGTGAGAACTTCTGTTAGAGAAATTATTGACTTTATTCTGAAGCTGTGGTTGGTCCAGTTTCAGCACAGGTTAGAGAAGTCCCAGTTGAGCTGAGAATTGATAAGGGAAAGTGAAACACTTTTCTGCTTCACCAGCTATCTCCTCTCCTTGGCTGCCTCTGCAGTTCATGGGGGTGTGAGCTCTTCCATTTGTAGAAGAATTGAAAGCTTCCCTTCCCCCAGGGAGCAGAGGAAATCCATATGACTATATTTTGGCTCTTCACACTGCTCAAGGGCACAATTTCAAATACAAGAGAATGTAGCTTGCCTTTATTAAGACCAGTCAAAAATGTCTGGATTGTCATTTTTTATCCACAGAACTGATGAAATTTTGACATAAAACCAAAAAAAAAAAGGTTTCTAGCACTTTTGCATTTTGATACTTCTTTATAACAGGGAAAGTTAGTATAAATGTACAAAAAAAATATAATTTTTTGAAAGGAAATAGGGAAAATTGAAGTGTTTGTTACTTGATATGGAATTTAAATGTATTAAAATTAATAAATCTGTGTGTTTTTTTTCTGAAGAAGGCTCCTAAGGGTGACCTCTTAGTTCCTAAAATCTGTGTATAAAAAAGGCAGTTATCAAGCATAGAATAATAAGCTGTGTCCTGTTAATATATTGACCTTCAGTTTTCAAACTGAACATATTCCTCTACAATTGATTGGCCACCTTTCACTCTGTTGAAACACAGGAACAGGTGAAGCCCCAAAAGTACAAACTTTCCTCTTCTGTTCCATCTTGAGTTTTTTCATTCCTATTCCAGAGGATATTACAGAGTAAGACAGTTCAGTTTGCAGACCTGCTGTCCCCTTGGGGTCTAGGAGCAGAGATCTCAATTAATGCCAGTTCTGTGCATGAGTTTTAAGACGTGGGTGCTTTTCCGCCCCAAACTGAGTTGAATATACTGTTATATTTTTTCATATAGGTCAACTAAACAGCTGTTGAAATGTGGAAGCTTCCAGTCACTGCTGATCTGAGTCAGGTTTTGAACTGATGACCTGACGACGAAAAGCTTGAGTCAGATTTCAGTCCCCTGAGTCATTTAGACTGCCTGCAAATGCATAATTAACATTTAAGATGCAAGTCTTTTTTTCGTAGCAGGAGATGAGGGAAGAAAGTAGTTAGTGTTTAATAATCTAAAACGCCCTGATAAAACACTTTGAAGAAAATGTCTGTGCAGCTGTAAAGTGAAAAATTTGGTGTTACAAAGGAAATACGCTGAATCACAAGTCAGGCAAGTAGCATTTAAATGAAATAAACAGCAACACTTCCTTTTTCTTGCCAGTTCAAGGATTGGCGGGGAGAGAGCAGAGTGGTAATTAGACATGTTTCCTATAATTCAGGTGTGTGTCTTAAAGTCCTTTCTCTAAAGAACCATATCTTAGGAAAGGCCTTGTAAATACAAGCATTCTGTTTAGGAGAATAGTGTCTTCTTCCCATTCTACTACACAGAAGTATCTTTTCAAAAGATTTTCATTTCATCTTGGTACCGAACGCCCTTTTTTGTTACAATCTTTTTTTTTTTTTTTTTTCTTCAGAAGAACTATCCTTAGTCTTCTTTAGGGGAGTGAGTTTGCTGATTTCCTTCTAAAATAGTGATGTTTTCTGTGTTAATCCAAGTTTAATTTAAAATCTGCCAGTGATAGAATTTTTCCGTGGCGTCTCTTTGAAGACTTTCTGGTGATCTAACAGATGTAAGTGTCATTAGCTCTTTGTTGATAGACACAGTAACTGTATCTTCTCTTAATATTGCCTGATGACTCCTAATTATGCACATTCAACCTTTGCCCTGTTCTCCTTTGATGTGCTTACAGACATTTAT